GATTTGCTGAACCTCCCAAACCATGCTCTTGGTGATTGTTTCAATCCATAAAGAGATTTTCTCAGCTTACATACCATATTGACCTGATTTAATACCTTCTTACATTGTGGAGGGGGATCCATAAAGACTTCTTCTTCTAAGTCTCCGTGTAAGAAAGCATTTTTTACCTCGAATTGATATAATGGCCAGTCCATGTTTGCTGCTAAAGATAAAAGTACCTGAATAGTGTTGATCTTTGCTACTGGAGCGAAGGTTTCATCATAATCGATCCCATAAGTCTGAGTGTATCCTTTTGCCACCAATCTTGCTTTATATCGATCAATGGTACCATCTGCTTTGAATTTTACTGTATATATCCATTTGCAACCTACTGTTCTTTTTCCTTCAAGAAGGGTAGTCATTTCCTATGTGGAATTTTTTTGGAGGGCCTCCATTTCTTCATTCATTGCATGTGTCCATTTGGGGTCTTTCAGAGCTTCCAGCACATTACTTGGAATAGAAATAGTGGATAATTGACATGCAAATGATGCACATCACAAAGAGAGCCTATGTATAGACATGTAATTAGCGATAGGGTATTTAACACTTGCCTTAGGGTCAGGCTCATATTTTTGTCTGGAAATCCCTCTAGTTGTGCGAGCGGGTAACTGATAACCTGTGTTTTCTGTGTGATTTGACTCAGTTAAAGTGTTTGGGTTTGCGTGTTCAGTTACCTGTGGAGAATTTTCAGGGATGATTAGAGGTGGTACTACAGGAGAAGTTGGGAAAGTATCTTCAGTATTATCTGGAGTTACCAAGTTTTGAGTCTCTTGATCTTGTTGCATGGTAGTAGCTGGTGAATCAGTGGTTACTACATCATTAAGTATTGTCACAGGTTGTTCAGTCTCTTTAGAAACTTGGATGATTTGACTCTAAGTGTCTCCTGCAGAGATAGAACTTTGATTCTGAGTGTCTCCTGCAAAGATAGAGTTCTCCCCCTTCGGGGGATGCTTAGAATCTTCCCCTGAGTAGTAGAATTCACCCTCAAGAAAAGTAACATCTGTAGTGACGTACAATGTCTGAGTAGGAAGATGGAAGCATTTATATCCCTTCTGAGTGTCTGTATACCCTACAAAGACACAACGTAGTGCGCATGGATCGAGTTTGCTGCGCTGATGTGGATATACCTAAACATAGGCAACGCAACCAAAGACCCGAGGTTCAAGGTTTGGTGTAGACGGTATAGTAAGAAGAGTGGTCAATGTCTGAAATGGAGTTTGATACTGGAGGGTGCTAGATGGTGTTCTATTAATCAGGTAAGCAGCAGAACAAAGTGCCTCTCCCCAAAAATAATGTAGCATGTGGGCATCAAATAAGGAGGCACGAAAAACTTCCAAGAGGTGTCTATTCTTAAGTTCTACTACACCATTTTGTTGTGGTGTATATGCACACGTAGTCTGATGAATTATACCATTGTGACTCAAAAAACCTTGAAGATCTTTGTTGACATACTCTCCTCCATTGTCAGACCTAAGTACTAAAATTTTCTTATCAAACTGAGTAGTAACATGTTGATGGAATTGTTTGAATTTTGGAGCAACTTCACTTTTCTATTTCATGGGAAAAATCCAAGTCATTCGGGTACAATCATCTATAAATGTCACAAACCTCTTACAGCCACGAATAGTGGAAACTTTTGATGGTCCCCAAACATCGGAATGAACAATCATAAATGGCATAGAACTTTTATTTAATCGTAGTGGGTGAGAAATACGATGGCCCTTTGCCGAAATGCAAGTTTCACAATGAAAATCTGATTTAGTAAATTGAGAAAATAAATCAGGAAATAAAAGTTTCAGATAACCAAATGAGGTATGTCCTAAACGTCTATGCCACAGTCAAATCTTCTTCATCTGGACCGATGTATCTCCTCTTACAAGATGAGCTTCACTTAATCTTTTACTGCAATCTTCTGTTAAGTCCAGATAATACAACTTTCCCTTCCTAGTACCATATCCAATCACGGTCCTGGTGTGAAGATCCTGGAAGAGACAATACAATGGCCAAAAACACACAGTACAGTTAAGAGAGTCAATGATTTGAGAAACAGATAATAATTCATAGTCAAGTGACAGGACAACTAAGACATGATCTATATTTAATGACGGTGTAAGAGATAGGGAACCTTCTCCCAAAATTGGGGAGGTAGTTCCATTAGCACTGGTAACATAAGTTTGGCTGGATGGTTTTTTTATGGAGTATAACCCAGTAAAACTAGATGTCATGTGTTCGGTGGCACCACTATCAATAATCCATGATCTATTACAAGTATGTGAAGATGTACAAGAGGAAGTACCTGTGGTTACCAAGGCCTTGGAACCAGGTGTACCTGATGAAGGTCCTGACATGTTTTCTTGAGATGATTCAGCAAATGAGGCTCTACTTGAATCCTTCTTTCGCCCTTTGTGAACCTATCCTTTTGGATAACCAATGATCTCATAACAACCCTTAATAGTATGGTTGTCTAAACCACAGTGAGTACATTTCATTAGGGGTCGATTTCGAGTGGTATTTGATTTCTGAACAGATGGTTGAGGTTGCTTTATCCTTGCTGCAACTAAGGCCGATACTTTAGGTGTAGTGTTAGCTTCAGACATGGTTCCCTGTCGATTACTCTCTCTTTTGATAAGTGCATAGACTGCCTCAAGTTCTGGTTTAGGTTCCATTCTCAGAATTTTCCCTCGAATTTGATCAAAGTTGCTGTCTAATCCAGCAAGAAAAATATAAACTCGAAGACGATCAATCTCCTTCCGTCTGATTTCAATGTCTGATGGATGTGTCATTTTGCTTAGATTTAATTGGTCAAGTTCTTGGAAAATCTCAGTGAGTTCATTGTAGTAGTTGGCAAAGGGTGCTCCATTCTGCCTCATGGTGAAAGATTTTTTGTGTAGATCATAAATCATTGCCTCATCGGAACCATCGGAATATGTCTTCCTGATTGCATCGCAGACCATAACGGATAAACCGTTTCATTTGATTGGGTTGCATGGCATCAAATAACCAACTCTTGACTTGGCAATCTGATGCACACCATTTATTGTATATTGGATCTGTGGCTATAGGTTGAGTTTTATCACCAGTCAAGTGACCATGTTTCTCTCGTCCAGCAATCTTCATCTCCATGACCTGATGCCATAGAGAATAATTATGTTCATCCAATTTGATTCCAATTGAGAAGTTGAATTATCTCCTTGGATGGTGACAATCTGGGTGGGTAAATTAAATTCACCAGCATTTTGGGATGAATTTAATACTGAATCATTGGCTTTATCTTCTCCATTCATGATGGAGACTGTTGAGATAAAGAGCAGAAAAAAAAAACTGGTTTCTGAAGTCTGCAGAAATCGGCTATGGTTAGGTCAAGAGGCAAAGATGATTTATGGCTCTGATACCATGCTTGAATTGGAGAGAAAGAAAATAATATTTCTTCTTATTATTGAATATGCATTGATACATATGTTATATAGAACAAACTAATGACTATACAAGGAAATATATTATTACAGAGAACAAATTAAGGGAATCCTATAATCTTGCATAATATGGATTGATTCTTTCCCTTTGAGGCTTAATACAGCTCATTTGACATCAACAGTCCACAAGACAATAATGGGTTAGTACATTTGTTTAAAAAGAGCTTGATATTGGTACATGTAGGTTATTGGAAATTATGTGTGCCTGATATACTGTGTTGCATGAGAAGACTTTTTTTTGGCATATTCGCATACTGATTACGTATTCAGTTGGTACGAATTTTATACTATTATCGAATAAATTATTGTTCCAATATGCTAGGAATGACTATGGTTTGTTCGTGATTAAGTTTGCTGAATACGTTATAAATGGGAAAATTGATACAATGGGACATAGATTCGATCCGATGAAATCCAAATTTAGCCTGGCTTGTCAACTATACAAACACGGTTGTGAGAAGATTATTGAAGCATATGATACGGACTTTGACCTTGCACCGCGTACTGTCAAGCGGGATAGGAAGATAAAGGGGCTGGTGATTCAGTAGCTATTTAGGAATGACTATAATATCTACCTAATACTGATGAACTCTATTTTTTTGTGGGCAAATGCAGTGTCTGTTTTTCATTTTTTATTCCAGTTTATACCCAGTGCATGTTGGATTTGGAAACTACATTTTTTTGATATGCCCAATGGAGATGAAGGTTTAATCCCTTTTTTTGCATCACTTCTTGCATTTTTACATTTTACACTGTGACCATTTATATATACCGCTTTCGTTCCCGCATTCATTCCCCCTAAAACATGTTTTTTTCATACATATCGGTTTTGATTCAAATTTGACATTTTGGTTGGGCAGAATCTATTACGTAATTAAATTTTTGTTTTTCCAATCTGTGCTTGGTAAAATAATGGACGAAGGATCACATGCTCTCATCTTCAATGTGCAAGGGCGGATAACAAAAAACGTACCCATGACGTCGTCAGTTTGCAGGAGCACGTGTTTTGTTCATACGAATTTCATCAAGGAAAATTATAGTTTGTCAGGGTCATTTGCACAGACTCTAGCCAGACTATCTCTCAAACAAGAGGGCTCACATCCATTTTTTAAGGACAAAAAAATAAAAATAAAAATTGTCCACCCTCTCATAGTCTAGTCAGAGTCTGTGCAAATGATTTTGGCAGACTAGCACAGTCCTTTGATCAAATACTGTGTACTATAACCTCTTTCCTCAACGAATAAAAGTCACTTCAGTTTAAATACACATGCATAATACAAATTGGATCTGCGTAAAGAAGCTCGATGGTTGCATATAATCATCATGTGTTATTTTCAAGTTTCAAATAATCTCTCAATTTAGACGTAAACATTATTAAGTTATTCAATAGATTTGTTCGTAATATTTATATACAAATCAGCAAGCAAATAAGTAAGAGCTTTACATAATATCCATATCACCCATGTCCCTAGCGAAACACATTCTTATTCAGCTTTTCATACAGTCACCACGCTTTTGCTTTCTCACGTGACATAACGGGAAAGGTTGCCTACACGTTCTCTTATTATGTCCCTTGCCTCCACATCGTTCACACATGCTTGGATTTAAACACTGTAGCCTTGTACACATCCTAGAATTCTTCGGTCTCCCAGGTGGTCTCTTTGATATAGGTGGTAGGATACGTGAATGAGGTCCATTATTCACCATACTCCAATTTTCAGAATCACTCCACGAAAATATGTCAGTCGCATATGTTGCCACATATGCCTCCTTTGTGTTGTAGTGCGAGCAATACCTGTAAGGCTGATCCCCATTCTCACTTATCACAGCCAAAGCAGGCATGGTATTCAGTCTATTTGAAATATGTTGCATGTGCATATCATACCCGCCAAGTCTACAATGTTCCTTGTTCCATCATTAGTCACTTCATACACGAAATCATTGGAAGCCGACACTTGCAATATTTTTAAAGATATGAAATGAATGATGTGCAACAATATATGTATTTCATGTCTTTCCCTCTAAAAACATATATGTAAGATAATAGAAATGAGATATTGATACGCTAAAATCCATATATAAACACACTCTCCAATCACAAGAATATGTACGGATTCTATGCATTCCTGTGTTAACAATACTTACCTTAAGCTTCAACGACATCTTCGCATTTTGTCTTAAAATTTTTTCCTGCTTCTCAGCGAGTCGCGTAAATGTTCCATTTGCAGTAGTTCGGTTCTTATGAAACCATCCTTGCAAGATATGTCGTAGCGACTTGAACAGGTAATCTACTGGACATTTCTTGAAAAGCTTGATCACCAAATTCATCGACTCGACGATATTTGATGTAATTGCTGTGAACCTATTCCTCGGTGCGTGGCATCTTGACCACTTGTCAAATCCAATATTTTCCTGCGTATCAGATTTTACCCGAACTTATAGAATATACACAAAATGAGTAGGGCGAAGAGTTATTTTATATACATAGGTCATACAACATTTAGTAGTACGTATAGTAGCATTTGTCATAATGTACAAGAATGCTTACCAAGTCTTTTTGAATCCCAACATTTATCTGATCAAGCTGTTTCATTTGATACTCAAATTCATACTTCGTGTACACCCTCGCTGTAGCATTAAATGGTTTCGTGATATTCTTCCCCGCATACCCGTATGCTTTCCTGATGTTCTGTAACAAATGGTGAGCACAAAACCCATGCATAGTGTTCAGGTATACGTCACGAACGGCATATTCAATACTAAGGTGTTGGTCCGATATAAAACACATCTCATCACGATCGTCGTACGCTTCCTTGAACTTCCGTAAGAACCAACTCCATGAATCATTGCTATCTGAATCTCCAATACTAAAAGCCAGGACCAATATACCGTTGTTTGCATCCTTCGTGCAAGCCGTGAATAAGCTTCCTCGATAACATCCAGTAAGGAATGTTGCGTCTACAACTACAAACGGCTTGCATTTCCGCCATCTTCGTATGCATGCTCCAAGGGCTATAAAGGCATACTTGAAGTGTCCTTCTGCATCGACTTCAACTCCTATTACGGAACCATGATTTCTTTCTTGAAGCTCGTTCATGAAAAGTGGACATTTTTCGTATGCGTCATCGGGATCACCCGTTAGAACCTCGAGTGCGTATTCCCGGGCCTCCAAGAATTTTCGGGCCCTCCAAGCTTTTCCACACTTCAAAGACAAACCATATTAAATCGTTCTTGCAATTTTGTACTTGTGCTTCACACAATCATCTATTAAAGCGCTATTTGCTTGGCGGTGATCACATATAATGACATCCAGCGAACAATTATGCTCATTGCGGATATATCGTATCTTAAACATATCAGTCTCACCTATTTTTGAAGCTGTAAATATCCACTTGCAAGATACCACGTCACATTTCAAAACATATTCCCTTACGTCTGACTTGTATACCTTAAATTGGAAGTTATTTCGGATAGCATAGAGTGCTATAGTCATCTTCAAGATTTTTTTTGTCTCGAAATACTTGTTTTTCACGAATAAATTGGACCTCAGGTTACGTGACCACACCATCCATTTCGTCAACATCATTGTAAAATGTATCAACTGGCGATATATTTATGCTCGAAATGAAACCATTCATTTTTGGGGATTCCACAAACATCTCGATGGGGGATAGTTGTGTCTCAATGCTCTGATGTGAATACATACCACATTCTCTTGCATCGTTTGATCCAGAATCTTTTGCTGTGGAGTATGTAATCTCAGACACAACAACACGCAAAGCATAGGCTGTAATACGTGAATCCCTACGCTTAAGCTCCAAGTAGAAATGTAGGGAACTGTCATTTGTTATACTTATCGGTGACATGTCTGCATCTGCAATGTACTCAATGTAAGGATTTTTAATTAATAGATGGGCTTATATGTGTAAATAATTGTGTGTTAAATTAAAGGCTATCAAATTCAGTTAAGCCCAATTAAAGTGATCTAATAAGGCTTCGATTTTTGGGTTTTAATGTATCCAATTAAAGTGTGGGTTTATAAATGTGTAGAGACCGGGCCCGAGTCCTAATTCTATGATGGGCCGAATTAGGTTAAAAGACATCGCTATATAAATAGGTTGTGGTCCCCAGATCACACGTATGTATTATTCATTCTTTACTGCATCCCATTACAGAGAGAAAAAGGAGACTGCGTATAGATTTGGAAGACTATACCGCGAAATTCATTATTGCATTAACTATGTCTAATTCAGGTACGCTTCCGCTTTAATTCTTGTATTTCTTGATGATTTAACATGAAAGATCCGATTATTTAAAGCATTAAATTATCCTACAAGTGATATCAGAGCCTTTTCATGTTGAATCATTGAGAATCAAAGAATTTATTTGGTTCTTGCAATATTTTATAAAGTTTTCAGATTTGACAGCTTTGAATTTATAGTTGTTGAATTTGAAAACTATTCGGTATAATTTTTCATTATCTCTCATAATTCGGATTATAATAATTGAGAAAAATTTCAGAATATGGATTTTGGTTTATGGAAATTCAGATTTCGGTACATTTAAAAAAAAAAAATTCTGGCAGCGAGCAGTGGCGCCGCTACTTGCGTAGCGCTGCTGCCGGCACAGAAGCGCTCAGCGCTGCTGTAAAAGAGAAGGGGCGCCGACGTTGGCCGACGCTCCTGATTTGTTAGGGGCGGCGCCAATGGAAAGAAAAGAAGAAATTTTTTTAGGGTTTTCAGTTTTTTGGTTGATTTTGGGGGTGGGGGCTTCCTCTGTAAATTAGATAATATGAGGCCCCTGTTCGCTATTAGGGTTAGGGTTATAAAATTGAAGTTTCAGTCCCTCACATATAAGTTATATTCGAATTTGGGCATTTAAGTTTTGAATTTAATAATTCAGTCCCTAAGGTTTAAAAATTAATTAATTCGGGCCATTAAAGCTCTGAATTAATTAAAGCCCTCAAACTTTAATTACTAATTCAAATTGTCCCCCTAAGTTTATAATTAATTCAAATTGACCCCTAAAGTTTCAAATTTTCAAAATTTGATCCCTAAAGTTTTGAATTGGTCAATTTTGGCCCTAAAGTTTTAAAATTTGTTCTAATTGATCATCTAAAGTATTGAATTAATTAATTATGGTCCCTAAAGTTTCAAGTTTATTGATTTCAACCCCTAAAATTTGGAATTAATTAATTTTGCCCCCTTAAAATTTTAAATTATTAATCCTAAGGCCCCTAAAGTTTAAAACTAATCAAAATATGCAAAATTGGTGATTCTCTTTCTCAAATTTTGGTACTAAGACTCTTTTAAGAGATATAATATTCGAAAGTTGGTTAATTGAAGCAACATGTTGCCAAAGCAACCTCTCTTGTGGAAATTGACTAACTTAGAATATTAAAAGGTGTTTGTATAAGTGTTACTCATGGGAATATTGGTCGGCCCAAAGGAAGGTCAATATTTAGCCGAATACACGTGCACCTGTGGTGATAAACGTGTGACGATTATTTGGTTTAATGTGTGATCAATAAATCGATCCAAAGAAAGGTTTGTTGATTGATACATTGTTTTATCGTCAATATTTGATCACTATGCCAAGAGTACCGCTTACAAGTCAATATCTTTGTCCAAAGACTAAATATTGATGTTGTGCTTGGTATCTTGTGATGGGCCCTACCACTATTTGAGATTATTTTATTTGCATATTAAAGATATTCATGTGAACTATTCATAATAATCGTTCTCTAATTCAGTTTCAGGTTCTATTGCTAATAACTCTGCTAGCATCAATTCAATTCCAATGCTTAATGGCACAAATTTCAGGGCATGGCAAGAGAACGTGATGATTGTTCTCGGAGTCATGGACCTGGACCTTGCTTTACGGGTCGATCAACCTATTGCACTTACTAATAAGAGTACCTCTGATGTCAAGAGGGAGATGAAAAAGTGGGAACTATCGAACCGTATAAGCTTAATGGTCATGAAGCGTGCTATTCCATAAGTATTCCTGGGCACTATGTCCGATAAGGTGACTACGGCTAAGGGTTTCCTTGAGGATCTTGAGAAGAGGTTTGCCAAGAATGAAAAGGCTGAAACAAGTACACTTTTGGCGAACCTTGTCTGAATGAGGTATAAAGGGAAAGGAAACATTCGGGAGTACATTATGGAAATGTCTCACATTGCTTCAAAATTAAAGGCACTCAAGTTGGATTTATCTGAAGACTTGTTAGTGCACTTGGTTCTGATATCCCTTCCGGTACATTTCAGTCAATTCAAGGTGAGCTACAACTGTCAAAATGACTCATGGTCCCTTAATGAGCTCATCTCACACTGTGTTTAGGAAGAGGAAAGACTGAAGCATGAGAAGACAAAAAGTGCTCATTTGGCCACCACTTTTAAGGACAAAAGGAACAAGAAAAGGAAGATTAATAAGAAAGCTGCGGGTACGACACCGCAAAAGAAACAACATAAGAAACCAACTGAAGGTAGTTGTTTCTTCTGTGGAGCTGCAGGTCATAAGAAGAAAAATTGCACCAATTACCACGCATGGCGTGTAAAGAAATGTATTCTTCTTCATTTGGTTTGTTCTGAGGTTAATTTAACTTCGGTACCTAGACATACATGGTAGATAGATTCTGGTGCAACAACTCACATTAGTATGTCTATGCAGGGTTGCCTGAGTTGTCGAAAACCAAGTGATGGTGAAAGATACATCTATGCTGGCGACGGCAATAAGGTGGAAGTAGAGGCAATAGGAAAATTTAGATTATTGTTAAAGACTGGATTTTATTTGGATCTTGTTGAGACATTTATTGTACCGTCTTTTAGACGAAATTTGATTTCTGTTTCTGTTTTGGACAAATTTGGTTATACTTGTTCTTTTGGAAATGGAAAATTTAGTTTGTTTCATAATTCAAAATTAGTTGGCTCCAGTTCTTTATCATGTTACGATAATTTTTATTCAATTGATACAATTGCTTCTTATAATGAAACCTTGCATGTGAATACTCCAGGTGTAAAGCAAAAATTAACCAGTGAGAATTCTACCTCGTTGTGGCACAAGAGATTAGGTCATATCTCCAAAAGGAGAATTGAGAGATTTGTGTCTGACGGGATTCTTGACCCTCTTGACTTCACAGATTGTGATTTGTGTGTCAACTGTATAAAGAGAAAACAAACTAATAAACGGAGATTTCAAGCCAATAGGACTTCAGACGTCTTAGAACTTATGCATACGGATATTTGTGGACAATTCCCTATGGGTTCTTGGAATGGTCAACAATATTTTATAACGTTCATAGACGATTTTTCAAGATATGGCTACGCATATCTCATTCATGAAAAATCAAAGTTACTGGATGTGTTCAAAAACTATAAAATTGAAGTTGAGAATCAACTCGGCAAAAGGATTAAAAGCGTCAGATCTGACCATGGGGGTGAATACTATGGCAGATATGACGGTTCAGGTGAACATGGTTCAGGTGAACAGCGTCCAGGACTATTTGCTAAATTCCTAGAGGAATGCAGTATCGTCCCACAATACACTATGCCGGGTTTGTCCATTATGAATGGTGTTGCTGAGAGACGAAACAAAACGCTTAAAAACATGGTGAGGAGTATGATTAGTCATTCTACCTTACCAGAATCTCTCTGGGGTGAAGCATTAAAAGCCGCAGCTTATATACTCAACAGAGTTCCAACTAAGGCCACTGATAAAACCTCACATGAGCTTTGGACGGCAAGAAGCTTAGTTTGAAGCATATACATATTTGGGGGTGTTCAACTGAGGCAAGGCCCTATAAGCCAAATGAAAAGAAACTGGACACAAGGACCATCAGTTGCTATTTTATTGGATATTCTGAAAGGTCCAGGGGTTACAAGTTTTATGTTGAAATTTCTCCAATTGCCATTGACAATGATCAGGTTTCTATTCCTGATATTGTTCAAGAAGCAACTCTGGATCAAGACAATGTCATACCTCCCTCTCAAGATCAACAAATTGTTCCAGAAGAACAAACTCTACAGCCTCAAGAACCAATGTCATTAAGAAGATCCACTAGAAAGAGGAGAAGTGCGGTTTCGAATGATTACGTCGTATTTCTCCAAGAACATGGAGTTGAAATTGGAATGGTGGAAGATGATCTGATCAACTTTTGTTAAGCCATGGAAAGTTCTAACTCTCAAAAGTGGCTCGATACCATGAATGAAGAGATAAAGTCCATAAAGGACAAAGATGTATGGGACCTCGCTCCATTGCCTGAAGGTGTGAAATCCATTGGTTGCAAATGGATATTTAATATCAAGAAGGATTCGAAAGGTGATGTAGAGAGGTATAAAGCTCGTCTTGTCGCAAAGGGCTTTACACAGAAAGAAGGCATCGATTATAAAGAGACTTTCTCTCCGGTCTCTTCAAAAGACTCTTTCAGAACAATAATGACATTGGTAGCGCATTTCGATCTTGTGTTGCATCAGATGAATGTTAAGACAGCGTTTCTCAATGGTGACATTGATGAAATAATTTATATGGTATAACCAGAAAACTTTGTATTGGACGATGCAAAACAAATGGTTTGTAAATTAAAGAAATACATCTATAGACTCAAACATGCATCTCATCAATGGTATTACAAATTTCATTAGGTGATCATCTCATTTGGTTTTGAGATGAATTTGGTCGATGATTGTATATACCACAAGTTCAGTGGGAGCAAGTATATTTTTCTGGTTTTATATGTCGATGACATATTGCTTGCCAGGAATGGTATAGGCTTATTGCACGAAACCAAGAGATTTCTAGCAAAGAATTTTGAGATGAAAGATCTTGGTGACGCCTCTTTTGTATTAGGAATTCAGATACACCGAGATCG